CCCCCCCCCCCAACCCTCGGTAAGTTTTGATGCCGAGGAGTCAAGTAGACGCCATGTAGTTCCCACGGGAAAGTACTGAAGTTGGATTGGGGTGTTTTTTTTTTGTCTTTTTTACCAATAATGTATTTACGGAGCAGCGCAAATAGTAGGGGACCATTATCTTTCGCGTCAATCCGCGAGTTGGGCGGGGGCCCTTGAGTCCCAGTTTTGTCGGGCGACCCTCGTTTAACATCCTCTCCGGTTACTCGGAATGGTACTGTCTCATGGGATGGGTTGTTGCTTGGTGTGATACGGGGTGGGGGGGGGGGCAGGAAAAGGACTTCAGTGTTTGGCGTTTAAATGTTTGTGTTTCTCTCCCGGGGTGTGCTTGAATGCTGCTTGTGCGCTCTTCTTCCTTGTCTCATTTCCTTGTTGGTTTGCTCGCCAGTTTAATTTTTTATGTTCTCCCTCTTGGTGAAGGCTACTTTCTTCCCTGGTGTCAAAAAAAATATGATTCGGAGACAGACTGACGGACGACGACGTGGTACGAGAGACGACGTAACAAGACACATGAATCGAAAACGTTGACCGCGTGTGGTGTGCTGCATGGTAGATGATACGCTTCGCGTCTCCCCCTGCCCGTCCAGTTGTCGTGTAGATACCACGGTCATCGACACATCGTTGCGTTCACTCTTGTGTGGTCATCCTGTTTGTCGCGGCTGGTCGTGAGGATACCACCACGTGAGCATCCAACCATCACGCGAATGGTCATTGCGCGAGGTAAATTGTTCGATGGAGGCGGGCCTATCACGGGGCGCAGCACTTCCTCGCTAAACGTACGTCGAACTCCGGGTCGTTTGTTTGCGCTTGACGCCGCGCTCTGCACTCTCTCGAACGGGGTCATCGTCGTTTGCACACACATGGTTGTCTCATGAAGCAACCAACACGCGAACATATCCGACAGGTTCTAGCGACGACAAAGGTCACCTGGTTTGCCAGACAAGATGGGCGCGTGTTTAGGATCCAAAAGCTCCCCGTTATGAATGAGGGTCTTAAGCTTGGTCTTATCTGCCTGGGTTTGCGTGTCGCTACAACGGCACAACGTGAGAGCAAACGACGACGACAAAATCATGAGGACTACCTGACGCGCAGAGGAAACACCTCTTCACTGTCGCCACCACTGATGCCACAGTACGGCTTTCAGACGCGCCATGTACGTTCGCGCCATGACGACATCGTCATCTAAGACGCACGATGCGATACACTGACGAAGCGCTACATACACCTACAGTGGGTCGCTTACGCGATGGTAAGATCGTCGTTGAAGTAGATGTGCAGGATCGGCATGTAGCCGTCGTCGTCTATGCCGAGCTTCTCGAAAGCCAGGTCATCGTCCACGATCCCGTTTTCCTCCAGGGTCTGGTCCATCTTCGCCGGGACGAACTTCTGCAGGTGTAGCAGTACAGAGTTAGCACCCACGCCTAAGAACCTCTAGTTTTGGTCGAGGCTGGGGTTCTTGGTTGCTAACGTTATGCTATGGTGATGACCACTAGTCTACGTGGTAGGATATTTCGTAGAGGTTCTTGACCGAGATAACAAATGGTGCTCAAGCTCTTAGATTTTCAGTTTTTCGTGGTTCCATTTCTTAGCTGCCAAGTTTAACTTTCGGGCGCGTTCTGAGATTACACAGATGATCGAAGAAGAAACGCGTAACGGGTCGCACAGGGGTTTGGGATCCCATACGAATAGAAACGAGGCCTCGGGCTCTGGTCAGCGTCCGAAACGGGTGCCGTGTTGACCACTCTGCACAAGTTCTACGCTGTGACAATTTTCATTTGTTTTTTCGCGTTCATTGAAGCTAAACAAGAGCCTCATTCGCCGCCGCCAACCGTCGCATTCTAGGCTGGAAGGGAGGGAAAGCGTGAATGGGCGGGACCCAACCATTAGAGCTCGTTACAACGTACAATAGCGAAAAATTGAAGTAGTGGGGCCAGAACGAACCGGCGGCCATACCTCGTCCTGCAGCACCTTCCACGTGTAGCTTGCGGCGTGGGCGTTGTACTCCAGATAGCGCTCCTGGGCGAACGGGATGTTTGTAAGACCATGTTCAATGTTTTCAGGTACATGCGTTCTTGGAATACTGCATCTCTCCCCCCTACCGCTGTTCTTGTGCGAACGACCTCCTCCTCTCGTGACGGGGGTCGCATAAAGCAGAGGCAAGCAACGAACACCACAACTGACAACAGCAGCTTGAACGGGGAGCGCGCCAATAACAGATTCATGTGAAAGCGTGTCCTCGATCACCTCAGGTCCGCGCACCGTGATTGCGTAGATAACCCACTGCGTGCTTTTCATCCGCCGGTAGTGGCTCAATTTTCGTGTGTGCTGCAGGACCGTTGTTCGGAGAGAGCGGTGCCGAGAACATGAACTCGTCAAACCCAGGAAGCATTTTCTAATTTGGAGGATGCTGTTCAACGATGACCCCTTTTTACACACCTGAATGTCCGCAATTGTGTCCTCGCACGCCACCAAGAGCTGATCTTCTTGCCTAGATAAAATGTTCACCACCCGCAGCGGCCGTGCCTTCCGCGTCAGCTTCTCGATTCGATGAGGCAGGGTCACAGTAGTAAGCGAATCACAGGCAGTACCCAGGTTGGGGGGTATCCGAGTTGGTTGGCTGTAATAGTCACGGTGTCAGCAGGTATAGCAACATGCCGCCCTCCATCGTTTCGGCATGACTAGTCAACTAACTGTGGTGTCAACCGATACCGAGAACTACATGTAGTTTTGTGCTTGCGAGCGCGTGATGACATAGAGCGGGCAGTGGCGTGGAAAAGGGAGGCGGCCGTCTGTGTCGTCGCTTACTTGGTGAAGACATGAGTAGCAAGGGGTGACCACCGTGGAAAAACCTTCTCGGTTTTCAGCTTATCATGGCCAGTCGGAAGGACATTTCGGGAAAAAAAAATAATTTGGTGTGGTATGCAAAGGTATCACACGAGGTGCACACCCGAGGCACGAAGTGGTGGACGGTGTACGTCAGGTTCTCTCAAGAGCATCCTGTTTAAGGGATGTCCCCCGGCATGGGTCCGAGGCTCCACCAACCCTTGCTACATCTTATCTGCACGCCGCGCGTGAAGCCTGCTTGGCCGTCTCTTTGAAAATCGTTCCCTAAGAGTCCGACGACGCGGATCAAAGGTGATGCTTGGGCGGGAGGGGAACACTTTCTTCGATATATTATGTCCCGTTTCTCGCCCCTGTAGCCACTCCCTGGAACGCTTGTGGTTGTAGCATGTGGGCTTTGTAGGTTGCCCAAATACTTCATATTCCCGGCCCTTCTCACTGCCGTCGAGACACCCACGCAGTAGCCCTTCTATCGCAAAGCCACCAAGGGCACAAATGAAGGTGTTCCTGGTCACCTTGCCGACTACTCTCTTCCGATCCCGCCACCATGGAAGGCCGAAGCTGGTGCTCCACTTGGTCGTGGGGAAATTTGGCGGCACGTGCAAAAACCTGACTCGAAAACCAGCAGAGGATATGCGAACAGACGCACGAAACAGACGGAAATCGGAGGCATTCGATACCTGTGCCAACCGGAATGCAGCAACATGCACTGAAAGGAGTCTTCGAAGAATTTTACCTGCGCCTTCCGAGGACAACTCTAGGTACACGCGCTGGCGCTCCTCACTCTCTCCCCCGACACTCCACTTGTAGAACATGCTTATGCCGGAGTTCCAGTAGTCCCCTGTGGGAGAAGACCTCTTCTGGATGTTGTTGAGCACATGGTTTCCATCGCGAAAAACACTTCTGTATGTTCTTTAGATCACGTTTTCCTGTCGTGATCTCTACCCTCTTGTTTTGAAAGTCGATACATGGGAGAGAAAGTTCACTGTATTCGTGAAACCAACGCATAGCCAACTGAATGTGACCCCCTCGACCAACAAGCAAGTGACCGGACGAACAAACAAGCAAGTGGTCGGACGAAGATGGACGGCTTGGCCAGTCGATAAGAGCCACGAATCAGTTTGCCACACACATGTCAACACCGTTCGACGACATATGTTTCTCCCACACACAGGTTTATTGTAATCAGTCAGCTCGTTGGAAGTTGGTGATACTGAGGGCAAATCGATCCCCGACCCACCTCCCCATGGGTAGATATGGCGTTGTCAGCCCCGTCTGTGGGTCGACGAATGTCCGCGGTTCGCTCGCATTCTCGCACTCCTCCAGCCGCCCGTTGCCGTCGCCACCCTCCTTGACTGTCTTGGTTGACAATGCTTTATTGTTCGACCTGTCGCCGCCACCGATTCCCCGTGGTTTTGACTTCTTGACGTCAGGTGGTGGAGGAAGATGGAACCAATGGGAGACGTCAGTCCCCGCCGCTGCGATTAGAGGATCCGCCAGTGGTCCCCTATTGGCGAGTATCAACTCCGTCAAATCCAATACCTGGTGTATTGCGTCGTGGGTACAGGATGAAAGTTTATGGCACGTTGTAAGGGTTCACCAGGAGGCGTGTGCGGTTTTTTGAGGCGGGCGCGAAGGTGGAGACTCGCGCACTTGTTCCGACAGGTGAGAGGTAGACTAGAGCAAGACTACATGCACCAAGACGAGACCGAATGGCCCGGGAAAGTTGAGCGCTGTGGGTGGGTGTATGACGCATAATGTTGTTCGCTCAATCATGTTGTACTGATCAGCATACCGCTGGTGTGTTGGTCCGTGCGCTCGTGTACGTAGCAACAGAATACGTTGTCGACAGTATGCAGCAGTGAAGGAAGGTAAGCACTCTGCAGCTTTTCCGCTCTGATCGTTCAAGGTACCTGCCCAAAGAGTGACAACCAGCAATCCTCCGCACAGTTATGTAGTGCCACATCATCCGGAGTATAGAACCGCGCCTTTTGAGAGCTGCTGTCGTCCTGGTCACCAGTTGTAGAGTTGACGGTCATGTGCCTGATTCTTTAGCAGCGTTCTTTGTCCGGAGGTGGACGTCTGCGAGGTCTTCCGTGGTGAACGGGGTGTAGATTCGCTCAAAAAATCGCCACCCGACCCTGCGACTTTGGTCAACGCTTGTCGTTTGTGGGTGTCGCCACGGTCGTATTATCTACGAGAGAGCGAAGTAAGCGAAGCAGAGAGAGACCGGGGGGCAGCAGCAGGCAAAGAAAGTTCTCGAGGAAAAATACCGGTTCGTCGTTCGTCGTGCCGTTTCATGAAATGCGGCGGAACATCGATCTCTAATCTCGCCGCGTTTCCGCGTTTCCGCATTTTCGTAGACCACTGACCACTGACGACACGCTGACACCGGGATAGAAATTAGTCTCCGGTCCACCGCGGAGAAAGTGCTGCACCGTCGTGGGGCAGGAACCATGGCGCTCACGCAGTCGTCGTCTCTGATGGCCCTTGGACTAAGGGGGGATAGACGCATGGTGCGCCACAACTCGATTCCTTCGCTGGGGTCGAAAGTCGTCGAGTTTAACAATGGGAGACCTAACTATACGGTGAGAGTACTGCATGCACTCCTTCTGCATCAACGGCGACGAGTGCCTCCGATACACATGAACATCAAGCCCTTTTTTAATGCTTTCTGAACTCAAAACTCACGTGCTGTCGAAAAAAGTCGACGTCGTACAGTACACGCGTTTTACGTGTTTCACAAACACGCGGCCGACGAGTTCCAGGATGCAAAAGTCATGTGCAGTAGAGTAGAGTCATCAGGACGCTGAACGATGGTGCGCATGCTCCTACGAAGAATATCAGAAATTCCGCGAAAGGGAAAGGGCGTCACCCAGGCGCTTATATGAGAAAGCTGCTGCAGCTGCAGCTGCTGTGCTGTCTGTGTAGGACGCCGATACAGTGTTTAAGACCGCGCTACAACTACTGTGTCTAGACCATGTACTGTAGATTACTGCATGATCATACTTCTCACGCTCTACGGTTCGAGGACGAAGTACGTGGTAAGCTTCCTGTAGACGCCTGCTTTTCCAACCTTACAAGCTACAGCTGAGATTTGGCGCCCGTTGGTTGGTCAACTGCGGAAAATATTCTTGGGTTTTAATGAATTCTTCAGTTGGTTGGGTCTTCCCCGACGCGGCAACATAAGAAAGACGAGTGGAGTGTTGGTTGGTTGACGTTGATGGATCGTCCAGGATATGTTCAACAGTGCTAGTCTTCCAGCTACATTATTTCGTTTCCGTTGTTGGCCTTTTGTTGCTCTCGCATGCATCTGCTTTTCCACCAGTTTTTTTGCTTCCCGCTGTTCTCGTCTACACGATGCAGACTCATCTCCGCTCTCCAAAAGAAGGCTTACTGCGTGGTTGCTTACTACGTGTAGTGTGTGCCTGTTTTCTGGTCAAGAATAGATCTACTTTCACAAAATAAATTTTCTGCAGCGCACGCCCCCTATTGCGGCGTGCCTTTCGTAGGTGAGTGATACGTGGAGGAAAAGTCCGAAAATATGGTCCAGTAGACCGTGTAGTTTGGACGAATGATACACTTTAAGTCTAATGTTTTGTGTTTTTCATCATTTTCAGTTTTTGAGGGCGCACAAGAAAAACTAAAACGTGCTCAGAGGCTCGGTATTAGCGTTGAGCCGTACTCTTACAAGTGGGAAAAGCAAACGAACGGAGATTTTCTTTTGGGCGGGGGTTGGAAGGCAAGATTTAGTTTTGGTTTGGGTTGTTGGAAGACAAGGCACTACGACTTTTCACCTGAGAAAATGTCCTCGCCGAGGGGCTTGTTGCAGTAATCGCTGGGAAGCTTCAGCGGCGGTTGACCCGCCTACACACTCAATGTACTGCATTAAGGAAGCCTGGCGCATTCGAGTACGACGGCAATGCATCTTTGTCGTCTGCTATGCAGATCAAGGGTTCCGAGAGCCAGCTGAAGCCTGTGAAGGATAAAGTGCGCGCGGCAGTGAAGAAGCAAAGACTAAGGTTGGAGGAGTTTTTCCAGCCTTTCGACGTTACTCGCACGAAAAAGGTGAGAGTGGCTCATTTTTCCCACCTGAAACTCCTGGAGCGCGCTCACAACCATTCGGACATGTCCTAGGTTTCAGTACCCAGGCATTGAAAGCTCGCTAGATTTGCTGGATAAGTTGTGCACAACACCGGCTTGAATGGTGTTGGCTAATAATTTATTTGACTTCAAGTTGCAGAGGCCATGCGGGGGAAATTGTTTTTTTCTACCTCGAATACCTGCAATACCTTGGTACAGGTTAACGAAACAACGTTCGTCAGGGCCATGAACGCCAGCGGCATCGGGCTCACACAGGAGGAGCTGGGACTGCTGATAAACCGTTACAGGCTGCCGGCGGGAAACGGGTTGATCGACTACCAGAAGTTCTGCGACCAGAGCAACAAGGTTTGTCAAACCTTTACCTTACAAACGTCAACCCGTACCACCCTCGTAGTTCTGTAAACAACATCGTCCGCCTCCGAGAAGATTATTTAGCAGACATTGTCCTGTGATCAAACCAAGGGGGACTACGGTCCCAACTTTATGGTATACCACCTCCGTGTGCGTGAATACCAGTGAAGACCAATACGAACTGCGCGTCATGCTTAAGTCGCCTCGTGTATCGATGAATGTGCAGGTTTTTACTTCAAAGCACCTGGAACGCACCCCCGGAAAAACGCTCATACGCAGCCTGCAGAGTACCCAGCCTGCCATTCTGGGCGCTGGTAACCCTACCCTGACTCCCACAGAAAAGCTGCGCACGGTGAGCAATCATTTGTTTGCCTGCCGTTGCAAGGGACGACGCGTTTACTTCCACCCACTCTTTGTTGTGCCTCTCTTTCCTGCGGAGTATATGCTAAACAAGGAGAACCGGAAGTTACTGGTTGGGTATTGGCAACAAGTTGTGGTTTACGCTCAAGATTTTTCCTTTGCTTCTCAGCAGTCGTGTGAGTGAAACATACATCTTACCACAACGAAAAGGGGCAAGGAGGCGTGAGAAAGCAACGTAGCAAAAAAGTGGCAGGGTATCTCAGTTCTGTATGTATTTTGGTGTAACTTGTTTCGGACAGGCGGACGTGCTGGAGGAAATGCGGCGCAAAGTTCGCGACGGAAGTCTCATCGTAAAAAATCTGTTTAACCAGTTCGACCTGCACACCAGGGGGTGCGTCAGCGGGGAACAGTTCCTGCGCGCGATCAGCTGCCATGGTCTTCTTTCTGCGGACAAGGTGACGGACGCCGCATGTGGAAGTGTTCAGACATGAGTGTGACTGCAAACAAAGTGATGAATGGAGGCTCCATTTTTTAGAATATAGACAATGAAGTCGGCTGGAAGAGGCTCCGCTTCCCGCCCTTGATTAGACTGCGCCAACAATCATTTTATGCCGTTCATCAAGCTTGACAATACACGAGGTACATCATGATTGTATAAGTACAACCACCCTTTGAAAAATAACGCACAATTGGAGTCCGCATCGGCATGAAAAAATCTTCCTTGACAGGTGTTGGATATGGAGAGGTACGGCCACGTTCTTGTCAAGGCCTTCACCGAGCGAGTTGACGGTCCCGGCTTGGAAGCCGTCGTTGTCAACTACAAAGCTCTCCATGATCAGGCGAGTGGCAGGTCATGTCACAGTTGCGTCCTTATCACGTCGATGACGGACATGTAGGACTTCAACCTTTTGGTATTGACCAGTCTACTCGAACCCAGAACAGCCTCAAAACTGAAATATACCAGTATACACACAGCTTCGGGGAGGGGAACAAACGGGTGTTTATCGTTCGAAGCGAGTGTGACCAGTGCGGGCCCTTCACAAGCCCTCTTCGCGACCGAGTCTTGGTATAAAGCATTGCACATGGCCTGGCTCACGTTCTGTGCCTCTCGCCAAACGCAGCATGCAGTGGCTTTCGTGTTCGGCGTAATGGCTACCAGCTCGACGAATAACTTGTCCCGACCCGCCTCGACACTGAAGCGATGTAAGGACAAACGCACACTGCCCGATAGCAAGTTCATGAAGGTCTGAGGGCAACCTCCGCCTTCCCTGCTCACACCGCCCCCGTTTCATGTCACGGCAGCTTATGGTACAGGACTGCTGGGAGAACCATGTGAAGGAACCAAAACCAGCGCTACTCGTCGACGGCCATCCCGAGGTAGCAGGAGCGATTCTTTATTTGTCTTCTGGTCTTCCTGTAGTTGAAGAATGTCTTTGACGTTCGCCGAAGAAGCCAAGATGCAATCACGGAATGTGGGCAAACCGTACCAATGTTTGGCGAGTATAAGGTAAAGCAGATCCCACGGTGACGACGAGGGCCGACTTTGTACAAGACGGTACGCAACGCTATATCATGGCACATCCGTGCCTGCTTCGCTTGACCCTTCTGATGCTGTGCTTCTGCTGCACACAGGAATACAACAACTCAAACGGCGATGAAACCGCGGGAGAGCGGCTCGAAAGGTTGCTCGTGGAGGAAGCAGTTGCACGCCGAATCGAGGTATAGTACAGGACGTCTTGACTTCCATCATGGGGCCAGACATTTTGAGGCACAGGTCCCGAACCGCGTAATACTCTCTTTTTCCATACGCACCCACACACTATCGTTCTTTTACTTGGTGATTCATCAGCTCTTCCTCCTTGCGCTCGCAGATTTGCGTTCATGGAGCACGGAAACTTGCTATTCGAGTAAACTAGGGTAGCACACACGTTCCGCTAAGCCTTTATGTCCGTCGACGCCAGGTTTCAAACGAGGCGTTCCTTGCCATGGTATCTAAGTAGGGGGCTTGGCCGGTGCCACGTTTTCCGGGGTAACAGTATGTTTGGATTCAGCAATGGGTGTACCCTTGATCGGAAGTCACCGAGTATTTGCTTGGTGACAAAGAAGCCTTTCGAACAGGCTAACGCTACCTTATGTTTGCCAGCAAGGTGTTGCGCTCCATATACTTTAAACTCTAGGGGAGCCTGCTGGACTGCTTGTGGCCAATCATACGAGACCGATAATCAAACTCGGGCTGGACCTGACATCGATGGTAGGTAGGCGTCGCACAACGGGAATACTATTGGCTGGTAGCGGATTGTAGCACCAAGACGGTACACATAACGCGACGGGGGGGTACGCAACAATAAGCACACAGTGCCCAATTGCCGTCACATGACTGCTGTGTTTCACGGTGAGAGGAAAATCTCCAAGACAAGCAATCTGTCTCGAAGAGCCAAATAACAGAGACCGTGTCTGCGCTACATCCACAAGAAGACTACAACTTCATACCCTACAATGTCCGAAAAAATCTCCGATGCCACAAAACGCCTCGCGGTCATAGCGCGCGAGATCCCGCTCAACTCAATTCAACCGAATCCAGGTGATGGACTACCTCAGCTCAGCTGTGGGAGGAGAAATGACCGGCACCAAGCACCCCGGGGTGGGATCGGGCGGGCTATGCTCGAGAGAACGATTCCAGCAGCTGCTAAGGGGGCTCTGGCGGGCCCACTTCACAGACGAGGAGGCGGAAGCCCTAGCCGACCGCTACCGCCCGCCGGTGGATTATGCCTCGGCAAGGGTAAGCATGTCGAACCACAAACATTTGGGACAACCAACCAAGAATTGGGCAAAGGAAACCGTAGGGAGAGAGGGAAACCAAGCGTCAAGGCAACGCAAAGCTTAACAAGACAGGAGACAAGCAGATGGTGACTTGGCGTGTGGGGGCAGCTATATATACACAAATCAACAACGAAACTCCTAACCGATATCATACTATCAAGACGGAAAAGGAGTTGAAAGCAACATCGAAATATAGGGGCATGATTCGACAGCAATGAGTGTTCGCACGCGTTTCATCTCTGGCATCCCTGGTCAAATGGGAAATACATGGCTCAGATCGGCGAGGGTGAAATGCCGGAGGAGAGAGAAAACAGAACTAGGCAATCGACACACATCTGACAGTCTTGGCATTCGTCGAGTGTTTTGCTACGGATCTGTCGTTCTGCTTTTCTAGGCTGCCACAGTATGTTGTGTGCATGCTCAATACTATAGCTTCAGCAACAAAAACACGTATTTACAAGCGGACGTTTTATAGCCAAGAAGCGAGGGCTTCCGGTAGATTTCTGATTGTCTAGGACGAAACACTTGCAGCGTTCCGGTGGGCTGCACACTGGATGCGCGCGTATCTGATGCTCGGAATCACTTGTTTTCGACGTTTCATTCTGGTTTTGTTTTGGCCAGATGAACACCTTCGTCGACCTGGCGTCGTTCGCGAAGCAGCTTTGCACGCGAGTCTTGGCGGCGAGGAAAACCGCCGCGAAGGCTACAGGGGCGGGAACAAGGCCGGGAGGAGGAGGCGTCGTTGTGCCCCCGAGGTGTGTGCTAGACACGGACGACACTGAGACTGTATTCCCCCCCTGTTTCAGAAGCATTTTTGACTTTATGCTTTTCACTGTTGTAGTATCTGCTCCATTGCCGACCACTTGTAGAGAGCACTGGATTTCTGTGTGTGGCCTCCTATCCTGAGGCAGGTAGACCACGCCCCTGAATATGCTGCATCGTACTGCGCGGTGTTATGTCAGAAACTGACCCCAACGGTTGAAAATCATTTACTATACTACCTTTTACTTGGAAGGTGGAATGGTTTCTGCCCCTCTTTTTTTGTCTCGACCTTGTTCATGCTTTTGGAGGGGGGAATAGGAAGGAATAATGGCGGCTCGTTCATGCTCGGTAGTAACGGGGCCGGAAGCTGGAGTTAGATTCGTGCCGATTCTTTTCACCATCTACCGGGTCCCCGACTTGACTGAAACCATCAGTTTTCGACCGACTATGGAAGAAGAGGTATCACGTTCAATTGAAGCATAGGGTAGCGCTGATGAACCGATTAAACAAACATCAAGTTGGCGTAGTGCTTATTCTGGCACGAGGAACGACCTATTTGGCACAATCCCGCGGGCCATCCATGAAGCTTCGACCTTTTGTTGGATTATCACCTCGTTCGATGTCAGACGAAGAGGAGATATCTGTGGTGAAGGCTATGGTGGTTCTGATACTGTTGATGGTGGCGCGGTTGCAATGACGAGTACACGCGCCCGTTTTCGTCTGTTTCAACACCTCCAAGCCTTCACTGCCCAAACATTCTCGAACATGCCTTCTAAGTGGTGTTGCACGACTTTCAAAATCCCAACGAACAAGTTGTCTTTGAAATAACTTTTCATGTTTGTTCGTCAAGCTGCGCGACTGGCAAAACCATGCCATGAATTCGTGTGCAGAGGCAGGAACCAAGGATATTATGTGAGCGGACTCAAACTTGAGTGTCTTCGACCACAACACCTTCTCATGCCCTTGCATGAAGGTTGTCAGCTAAGGAAGCGAAGGATGTGGAGAACGTCATGTTGGACATCAGAGGCAGGATCTCCCGGGAGCGGATCACTCTGAAGCCGGCCTTCAAGGTGGGCTGTAAATATAACGTCAAACAGAGGTACATTCGTCAATCAACCCCCCACAAACGTGCGAAAAGCCAAAATGAGGTTCAACCATGATAGCGTTGTTCACGAGCAGCGCGTTTTTTGGCACTTGTCTCACCGACGTAACGGTGGAAGGAGGTCTTCCTCCAGCTCTACATTCTCGAGTTGTGCTACAAATGTTTGTGATGCATTCATTGTGCAGTGCATCCTCCCTCATAGTGGTTGTACTCGATACGTCAGCACGTGCATCCTGTTTCCAAGTATTCCGCCCTCATTGACGTAATACCGAGTGTTGAGCATCTGTCGGACATCGAACGGCGTTTCATCGACTTGGATACGCGGCAAAGAGCCTCACGAATCCCATCAACCAATCTGCCATCGATGAGCTTACTTCAATCCCCTCTCCCGAACCACCCGCACCCGTCCCACACCCAAAAGAACTTCGACCCTCGCAACGAGCTCGTAGTATCCAACGAGCAATTTGCGAGGGTTCTGTCGACTCAGGGGCTGCTCCCAACGGACGCCCGCCTTTGCGAGCTCCTTACTCGTCGATATGCGGTTTCCGACTTCCGCCGGCAAACAACTATCCATCAGGTGTGTATCACCACGGCGTTCTTGTGGTTTTCTATTCAATGGGTCGGGGGAAGGACACGGAATTTCGAGTGATTGTGTTAGGTAATGCGGGCATGATTGGCCTTCGGGAGTGCATTTTTGAAGAACATTCTTCTCGTTCCGACTGGCCATTTCGATATAGAACAAGGTGGAGAAATATTTAGACTGGTGATACATTCTGAAGAAGGCCATACACAACGTAGTTCGCCCATACATCAGCTCTATTAGGCTAGTGTGTCCGCCAGGTGCCGATTCGTACGGGAATTATGCTGAGACCCTGCTAGAATAGTCTTGAAGGCAAGAAAATACATTACACTTTTGAACTGTCATTGACTCTGGTACAGGATTTCCCATGCAAGTATGAAGAGGTTGAGTAGTTCACGCCGCTTGTTGCCTTCGCGTTTTCAGGGGTTCGTGGCGTACAAGGAGTTCCTCCAAGACGTGGATGCTCCTACGAAGACGGAGACGCAAGCCTACATCGATAACTTCGTGTTCGGCAGGGACCAGGTACATCACGCCCGTAGCAAGTTTCACTCCAAATCGTACCGCCCAACAAGCAAAGAGCTACGGACCAACCATTCCTCCTCATGAAGAACGGACCATCTGGTGTACTGCAGTTTGCACGTTTTCACGCACGACAGTACAACAAGAAGCTGATAACTTCTAGGTGTTTTGTTTAAGCCTTCGTTGACACGTCAAGCGCTGATATCGATGATTTTGGGGTTGGAAGGAGCAAGCCAAAAAGATAGACCTCCAAAGTCTTGTACCCTGGGCATGCTCCTGAACCTTCATCTGCAGGTAGAGAGGTACCGCGTTGGAGCACAACTCTGCTCTATGTCAAAATGTTAACCAGTTCCGACGCATTAGGGCTTGACCCGCTACTTTTAGAAAAGGTCAATTTTGCACCTTGGCCGGTTGCACATGAAATATCGATTATTTCAGAACCAGCCGTTCGACGCTCCCCAGAAGCACCAAGGCACTGATGGGGGGGGGGGCGAGGAAGAGGGAGGCAAAGGGCTGACGAAAAGCTCGAGCAGCATCTTGCGGTCAGCGGCGTCGCTGACGTCGGAGGCGTTGATGGGGAGGGGAGGGGTTGGGTTTAATCCCGCCCGCGATTGCGATGCCATAATTCGTGACGTGAGGCGGACCACCGCGAGGGAGAGGGTGCGCATGATGGATCTTTTCAAAGACTTCGATCGTCTGCAACACGGTGAGACACCTTTCGTGCTTCGGTAGTAGGACAATTAACGTCGACTTTCAAGGCATGTGGGCCGACTTGCTAATTTCAGCAGAATCGACCCCGTTAAGATATTTTCTAGTCCACGGTAAGAGACGTTTATGTGGTCCGACGGCGTTGTCCATGCTTCCAGATAGCATATAGTATCGCGCGAAACCACCAGAAAACTAAAGAGAGAGTGCCTCGACGTTGTGACAATAGATTATGGTACCCCACCTTACGCTGGTCTACGGAGATTGCATGTACGAATTACCACGATGCAATCTCCAGAGAGAAAATTTCCGATTCTAATGCATGGAGTCAGCACCCCAATCCCAACAACCCACGCCTACTGCGTACAAAGTACAGCTCGAGCAAACGTTACGAGGACGCTGTAGTCTGGTGTATATTGTAGCCGCCTTTGCCCAACCCTCATCGATTCTCCCTTCCCCTCTGGCACCCTTCGCTTCATGGTGTTGCAGGAACATGTACCCAGGCCCAGTTGGCGAGGGTCATGAAGACACTCGACCATCCTCTATCCGACAGAGAGTTGGCCGCCGTTTGCGAGAGGTGCGTGAAGCCAAGACGAGCTGTTTTACAGCTTTTGTTGTTAGTCCTGTGGCGGGCAAGGACTTCGGTGAATATGTACGCTAGGCAGATTGTACCTTGCCTTGATCGAACCGGTCCATTCCCACTTTGAGTTTTATTATAATTTATTCCAGCTATTGTACCCTTCCGTCATGCCCAGCACTTTCGCGTTCGAATGAAGGATACACAAAAACTCATTATTCGCAACATCGTCGCCCAAACCATGAACGCAACAACGGTCACCTGGAAGTCTTGCTTGTATGCAGGCTGTGACACGCTGTTCCTTGGCCATCGCCGCAACTCTTTTCAGGTACAAGAGCAACGCCCCGCGCGAGTGCTCTCCTGGGGACGGCACTCCGCTGATCTTCTACAAGAACCTGGTGTCCGACATTGAGGCCGTCTTCACAGTCGAGGAGTTGGAGAAAAAGTCGGCAGTCACTAACGTTGAGCAGGTAATATTCTGTCGGCGTCTACTACGGTATTCTCTCGCGTATTTTTCAAGCTACAGGAGGTCCTCCGAATATTCTGTACCACAAGCGAAATTGTGTTTCGACCTCCCGTGCCTAAGAGCTTTTCCTTTCGCAGACACGAATCTTTTCACATTGCCGGGTGAGTGATGTCGACGGATGCGGGTGTTCTGCCAAATGACAACCTTTTCGATGCGCGTCTAAAGACTTCACCAATACAAGCTACTGAACAACGGGCCGACCGAAATAAACAAAGTATGAACCCGAAGCTACCCGATGTATCCCTACTACTGTTGTAGACTCAAGGCGAAGCAGGCGGAGGATATGCTGAGCAAAGGTGTCTGAGGGGTGAATCGCCGACGCTGCACGACGGGAAGGAACACCTCTTTGGGGATGTGGTGCCAAACCCGATGTGACAAGACTCGTTCTAAATCTTGAGCGGTGTGTAGGAAGTCAATGCTTACATGTTGTCAGACAACACAGTCCAATCGCTTTTAATAATCGGGTACAAAATTCATCGCGAAAAATGATTTTCTAGACAGCTGGAGGACCTCCATTATGTTGGGGGATACAAGAGGGGGGTACTGGCCAACTGATTTCCCAGAAATCACAGCGTGTACTTCAGATAGCCTCAAATAACCGTATACTGCTTTCATGGTCGCGTCTGCGGTCCGTGCGTTCCGACTGTAACACATCGAAAACCCGGCTTCGACGAAGGCGGTGCGAGAGGCGAGGGGCGTGGATCGGCGATTGAGAGGCGAATCGTCCAGGCTGGAGGAGCTGACCGAGGAAGAGCAGCGGATGCTGGCCAAGTTTCTGCGGGAGCTGGCGATGAAGGTGGGTAAGAGGGCGTCTTCGCTCGTTGAACTAGTGTCGTCTCAGGACTAGTTCATTCAAACTAAACAGACTCGTATCACAGAGAGATCAGCAAGTAGAGCTCATTAGATATAGTTGAAAATTCATGATATAGCACTCCTGGCTGCCATCGGTGCGTCTCTTTGTGCCCTCTGCTTGTTCTTTGCCTTCGCTTGGCTTGCGGGCGCGTCAAGGCCGCGGGTACGACCATGGATTCACAGCTGTATAAGCGCTTGTAGCTGGAGTTGGTTGAGATGTTGGTCGAGGGAATGTTTGGTTGGAACCTGGCGAGGGAGAAAAACAGCCTCTTCATGTTGCTACTGGTACTTACGCCCTACACAGGTGAACAAGGACAGCCTATGCCTCCCTTCCCTCTTCACGGACTACGACCGCTTCAACGTCGGAGACATCACCGAGGCCGGAATGGAGAGGGCCCTGGGGGGAGCCTGCCTCCTGCCGCCCGAGCCCATCTTCCGCACGATCGTCAAAAAGTTCAGGGAGCACTCCCGCCGTAGCTCCGGGGGCGAGGTCAACTACAAGGCCTTCCTTGCGGCGGTACGTTTTATGACCTTCCTTGATTTCGACCTTGACAGTGTGCCGAGTTGCTCCAGCACTCAGGGACCGTGATGTCCCGTTCATCCACTGAGAGAATGACCCGTTGTATCCTGGTAGCCCTCTATTCGATGCCACTTGTCCAGCTCGCTGTCTTTTGCTGGTTGGTGCCTGAGATTAATGATTGCACCGGCGCGCGTATGTGTAGTCCATTTGGTTCCTTACTAACGTAGAGTTAGCCTCTGTTGGAACACCCTTCATCCAAACTCAGGGGCACCTTCAGCATTCTTAAGTCTGGAAAAACCCTTCCACGTTTTTGCTGCTCTTACTTTGACGGCTGTCTGTCGTTGTCTTGTCGTTCCGAAGGTGGAGCTCGCCCAGGACCCGCTCGCAACGCCGCGCGACCTGCCCAATGCGACCAAGTTCAGGGCCATGCGGGCGGAGGGGGGAACTGAAAGCTTCGTACCAGCACCGGGTTCAGGCTCAACCTCCCAAGGGTACGGTTTTACTGTATACTCTTGGGCAGCAATAGTTGATATTACATATGGCACTCTATTATGACTCTGTCCGTCATGTCGGCATACTCATCACTTTCAGCGCTGCAGGGACAGAGCGGGGAATCGGACACGTACCTTGGTTGACTTTCATCGGCCATGAAAACATCATCGCCGACTCTCCTGGTGTTTTTGATTGTGACGGATGACACGCCGCCTGGGTCGAGGAACGGCGCAATATTATCCCGCTGAACAACTCAAAAGACGGCACGGGCACATCGTCTTGTTGTTTAGGGCGCTGTGAGAACAGCTTATTATTGTACGGTCTTCGGTGCACCAACTAGAGTCACCAACGTGCAGATGTTCGTCATGTGCTGTTCTTGTTTCCGATACATTGAGCAGAGGAGGAGGAGCTGCAAATCCCCGCCTGTATCGCAAAGCTCTGTGGTCTGCGTTGCGAAGCATCGGCTTGCAACTCAGTCGCTCCCACTGCCAGCTAGAAGATTTCCTGTCCAACGAAGACACCCTCAGGACGTGAGTCGAAGCATACCAAATTGAGTTTCGGTATCTCTGGAGTCGCTGTGAATGCCAGGCGACTGTTAACGCGCGATCCACAAACATTTGCCAGACGCCATTGGAGTAAGCCTTCTCGCTTCAAAGTGGTGTGTCGGCCTGGGGACTGGTTCGTCGAGTTACCATGGCAAACGCATACCCACCCATCGCTCCAGTGTAGGCACCGTGCCCACTGTGCGAAGTAGGTGCGAAACTGCACATGTTGCATACTTTGTATCAACATGATGGTATCAACGGCCAACCGGACAACATCAACAAGTACGACGACAACGAGATTATCGACAACGACACCACGAACAATAACCGCAACAGCGACAAAATGACACAGCCTACAATGACGACAGCGACAACCACCTCCACCATTTACAGTATAACGATACCAAGAACTCCAATCCTTACAGAGGGGAGGTGACGTGTACGGCCATGCGGCACTGTCTTGTCCTTGCCGACGTCCGCCTGACATCACCGGAGCTGGCCGCGGTGGACAGCGCGTTCCGGAGCACAACGAGGCCAGAGATGATCGGCTGGAGGGACATCTGTAAGGCAGCTGTAGACGCCTACAACAACATAGGTGCGGCCACGGAGAAAAATATGTCATTGCGAGTTGGGAGAAGTGTATTGTTACACTACCAGCTCTCCGAGATCCTCGAGTCGGTCACAGGTGGGCGTGGCGATTCATGCATATGCTGTGGCTGCCGTTTATGCTGTTGCCTCAAAAAGTCGTATATATATGGTCGGACTCGCCCACTATCCTGGAACCTGTTGGTTCCGTTTTTCATGGTCTGTGTGTTGTGTAAGCAAGATTTATTTATACTCCAAGTTTCTCCGAACACTGATAATTTGGAGGGGCACACGTTCGTCCCGCAGGCCTCCACGTTCCAGGGAGCCACCAACGCTTCATACGCAATATCTTGCTGACTCCGCACGTCTCCCAAACCACGACGAGCCAGGTCACAAAAGGTTCATGGGTGGAGGCGCTTCTACCGTGGCATCTGGGGGAGATGATAGCAGCGGCACCGCGACCTCTTCCCCTTCCGGGTGGAAGGAAGAAGAGCTTCTGCTCAAGATCGACGGGGAGATCAAGGCCAGGAGTCCCAATCTCGAGGCACGTGATATCTAAAAACAACCATCTCCGCCCTCTGGATGGCACGGAACGCACAAAGTCTACACTGATACCTGGTATTCTTTCGGTTGGATGCCTCGCTCTAATAGCGTTCTTTCGGTACGCTTAACGATACTCTTAGGGAGTGTGGATAATATAGTCTTGAGCTCTATGTGGCAACGGGTCCAAGGCGACCGGGCTAGAGCACGAACCACAACGTTCCTCCAATTGAAGTGATCACAGACGAGTGCACCAGAAGGGGGAGAGCGCGGCGATCATTTCGTTCCCACGTCTATTCCCATCGAAAATGGCTGAGGTGACTGATGGGGGGATTTGGTCCTGGCGGGTCTCACGGTGGAGAGAACGACTCACCGAACCCCACGTAAAGATTGTTTGATCCTGAACCAAGTTCAGAACGATGGATAGTAAAAGGTAGGAAATTATTGTAGGGAGACTGAAGGCGTGGAAAAGAATCACGAACGAGAGTAAGAAACATAATTCTAGAGTTAGGTTTGGGCGTGGGGCATGATTTTTCCGCTCCGACATGATTATTCCCCATATACCCTGCATCACAGGCGCTCTTCAAGGAATTCGATCGTTCCAATCGTGGGACCGTTACCGAGGCGCAGTTTTTCTCTCTTCTCGACCAGGCAAGTATTTTCCGTCTCCTCGCACGTACGACGTGCTTCATGGCTACGATTACTCTCTCCCTCTCTGGCAGAAATCAATGGAAAGACACTCGCCGTCTATGCAGATCGTGAAGTTGTCTGTTTGCGCAAACGAACTATGGAATATCGTCCGATGTCAACAAGAGCCCACAAAAGTAGAAAAATATCCCTCACCAGCAGTGGATTATCCCGATGCCGAGTGAAATTTTGACGGGAGAGGATGAGAGGGTGACGCCTGCAGTAGAACAACACGCCCTTTCTTGACAATATTGCTTCCGTCCATCGTTCTGCCGTCCTTTCACATCAGGGGCTCCCGAGGATACACTTTACGGAAGATAACACCAGCACTCTGGCACGGCTGTTTGTAGACCGCACAGGATGTGACTTTGGGGGGAAGGTTCGGTACAAGCAGTTCATGGAGGCTGTGGGCGCTTCGGCGTGATGGCGATTTGCATGATTCGCATGATGCGAAGTATACAGATGTATACTACTTCAGACTCAGAGCGTAGTCGGGGAAAGTCGTTGTTATCACAGTGGTCGTCATCACAACCACTTGTACTAGACCGCAGTCCGAGGGTCCATTCCCGATAGCGATGGCCGGGGGAATCGACTACTTCGTACAACAATCAACATGCGTCGATACGTTCCAGGAGAGGATTTGCATGCCCACGGAGAGACCCAAAATATCATCTATATGCCGTCCTCGCGCTATTGGCGAAAACACCTCGGAGGGTGGTAGTCAATTGACGTCAACCCCACTCCTCACTCCGCGACTCCAGCATCGTGTGATTTCAGCGGCAGTTTGTGTGCTGCCTACACAACTGCATCTTGTGTTGAATTTGTTTTGCTTCGGTTTGCCTCTCCGCCGTGACGTTCAACCGACCAACAAGGGTTACTTGCCGAGTCGAAGCATGGACTCCCGATGAGTATACCTCAATCTTCGTTCGAACAATAATATTTCCCGTCCTTGTATCGAACTCTCCGTAGGCCTACATGTAAACGACCCAACGATTTGAGCTCATCGCATTGAAATCAGCGCTGCGCCTGCGCTTCCACGTTGTTATAGATCCGTTCATGGCAGCAAATATATCTGCTTCGACAGCTCGCTGAAACAAGAATTATCACTCGTCGCTCTTCTGTGCCGGAGTCTGGCTTAGTTGACGGTGGGGGTAGTGCAAGAAACCTTGTCATATGTATTCCTCGAGCCCCGGCCTCCTCGGAACAAAACAAGACAAAACCTCAATCGTCTGTCATCTCAGCCTTTACACCGGAGGAATTACAACTACTCAAACACATATTATTATCCCCGACAAGAGTATTTCACACTGTATCTGCCTAGGCGCAAACTATAAATCGTGAGACTCTACCTACCCTTCCCCTCTTAAGGAACAAAACAAGACAACCATGCTCCCCGTTCGTACCCACAAGCCAGCCAGAGTAAGCGAAAATGCTCGTGGAAGGGTCTACCTCAGAGAAAACTATTTTCTTGATCTGCATCTCACAGAATGCCGGTCGCACATCAGTAGCAACTGCTCCCCCGTGTAGCCCGTTCGAAAATTCGCGCCTCTATCCCTCACCCAATCATCTGGGAGCCCAATATCGTGGGTCGCAGAAAAGCTAGACAACTTCGCCAACACTGGGCAAGAAAATTGATCCAATCGTACGAATAGGCAGCGCAGGTCCAGATCAAATGGAACGTCGCCACACGAATTCAATCAGCACTACACACAAAACATGCTTGTACAGGTCCAGTACCGGTGTTCTATTGCGTACTCCCCTAAATCTACAGCTAGGCAGGATCAGATCAGTACCGCAGGGCGCAGAAGCACGCTGCTCCGGCCTTGATCCAGTAATCCTGATCGCAATATTGTACCTGCCGAGCGGCGCGATAGATAGTGGAAGGGGCGAGGTAAGCAAGCGGCTAGTGCAACGGGTGTGGGGCTCAAGACGCAATCCAGCGACCCTGGTGACAGGGTCGCAGCCGACCGCGCAACCGATAACCCGGCGATAATCGCTACCAACCGACGATCAACGCGAGGCCAGGGAAAATATCCGGCTTTTCAACTTCCGTGTGTTTCTTGTGGCACACACCCAAGAGGTAGCAAAATCGGAAAAAAACTGAAGCGTGGAGAGTCCGACGATGCCTCGTCCGTTGCCCGAGTGTTGGGTAGGTCTATCAAGCATTTCCGTTGTACCAACTCCATTCCATCGTTCTTGCGCTATCACGAACACCCAAACCAGGAACGCCAATGCACCAAGCGGGGCGCTTTTCTATGCGATTCCCTCCTAAGTCTGATCCAAAACGAATGTACGGCTCAAAACAAAATTTGACATTCAAAACGCACCCTTTGAGCGGAATAATACCCAAAATGGAACAGAATGCCGTCGAAACGACCAGATCGAGACCGATTAGGCTCGGCTATTGTCTGATGTACACCGTCCTCGGAGATTTTTTCATGGACGGCGCTTGTCGCGACATGATTGAGCAGCAGCACGTGAAGACATTCCACGCTGCTAACCTGTTTGTTTGTCTCTGACACGAGGCTGGCCCTGAACGTGTTGGCCTTGTTACTCGGGATCTCTATCCAGAAAACGAAGTTGGTGCTGTGGCCCGTGGTAGAGAGAACCCCGGTTCTTGTCAAGATCTGGTAGACGCGGGTTGGCAAGAAGATCAGTGCGTCAAGCCGAAGAAAGGGAGTTGCGACTGACATGCCAAGCAGTGCAAACATGTGGGATTTTTCAGAACTGATATGAAGACAGTGACATCCTCCGAGTGTGGCAAAACGAATGGCAGGGGAAACCAGGAGAAGAATGAAGGAGCATGCACCTCCCGGCCGATCGGGAATTTTCTGCTCGCGACCTAGGCGGTGGTATGCGTACCCTTCTTCAAATGGCACATTGGCGTGAATGCTCAGGGCCCCGTGGAGCATCCGAACGCCTTCTGTACTCGCAGGGGTAACGTTGTTTGAGTAGACCGAAAGCTTTTCGTAACAAAGTGCAAGCATCCCTTTGTCGATGCAACTCGCATTTCCGAAGCAGACCGGGTCTAGGGTTGGTTCTTGCGGTTGGACTTGGGAAGATACCGTACACCGACAGCGTCTCGACGTGATGGCGTGGTGGTCGCTTTTGTGCGTTTGTGAGAGCCGAGGACAACAACAACGATGCGAGTGTTTGTGTGATTATGCTTGTCTCACGGTACTATTAGACTATACAGATACCGCACCTTGTAGACAGGACAGCGGTAGATTCCAGTCTGTGGCGTCTCTCGGTCTTGCTCAGGGAGTAGATGGACAACGGGCATCGAGCTGAAGAGCTCCTTTGGTCGAGGGTCAACCTGATGCACGAGTTAAAGGCCACATGGGAATGGGGAGGTGGCTCACTTGGCGCTGTTATCGCTATCGTTGTTGATGTTTGTTGGTATTGTCGTTGTTGATAATATGGTAACAAGGAAGGTGACGCTTGTGTCTGAACAGGGCAGAAGGACCAACTCACGTACCACGGACAAAACGAAGTAAACACAGGTCAGGTTCTCGAAAGGCGGAGGCGGCTCACCAACGTTCGCATCGATTTGTCCCAGCAGGCGCCTTCCAAGAAAAGCCCGTGAATGAACAGACCGTCCTCAGGCCTTGAGGAGAGAACGAACAAGCGACGGCAGGAGGGTGTGCTTCTTCAATCATATATCGAAAACATGCAGCGGTGGGGGTCTTGCGCAGTGAACGCTCGAACCTTGATTGTGGTCATGAATGACGAGGCCATGGCTTAGATCGGATGCCACAAACATCACGGGAGGAATACCAGTGCCTTCCTCTGGATGCCACCCCACACAAACGAACATGGTGCGTTTCCCAGATCCGTGTAGTATACTCAACACGCGCTCTTGATGCAGCATCTACCTTTTAGAACGATCCCCTGCCCCCCCCGGTGTTTGCCATCGGGATTGGGTTTTCGTCGCTTGGCAAAGACGTTGTAAAACAAGCCAATTCACTTCGTGAACTCGGCAACCAGGTTACCGTTTTTTTTTTTTTACCTCCGGTTTTTTTTTTGGCGGTAACCATAATGGTGGTCGAGTAGATCATGTTGTGCGGGGTGGAGAA